GCGGCGGAAAAGAAAAGGTTAGAAGCGTTCGAAATGTGGTGTTATAGGCGGATGATGAGGATATCGTGGGTAGAAAAGGTTAGAAATGAAGAGGCATTAGAAAGAATAGGAGAACAGAGGACTCTATGGAAGTCAATAAGAAATACGCGAGATAGGTTGATTGGACACCTTCTCAGACATGAAGGGCTAGTCAGAGACAGATTAGAGGCAGAAACGGGAGTTAGGAGGGGTAGAGGTAGATCTAAATCAGATTACTGTTCGCAAATAGATTTAGGGAAATGCGAAGATTAGCTCAGAATAAGAAAGAGTGGAGATGAGTGTCCAACCAGTCTTAGGACTGACGACCTTATGATGATACATCCCTACTTAGTTGTCAAGGGAAAATTTTGGTAATTAATATTGTATTCGGTTAGGTCGTTTGTCCTAATTAGTATTATTGATTGATTACAAGTTATCAATTAAAGAAAATATTTCGCACAACATTTGCATTTTTTTCAAATTCCGCCTGGACTTCCCCGGACACCTTAAAAAGAGGGAATATTCTTCGCAGTTGAGTGTGGAAATCGAATTTTGTACATGCACTGCCTTGCTCTTGAACTTGTTATATTTGCTTTAGCACAAGATCAATAACCGTAAAAAGCAGGTGGAGATGTGCCTTGAAGAAGCTCCAATAAGTTCAGCAAACATAAGAAAGATGCAGAGAACTTCTCTCGGACATTAAACATCCGGTCTTGTTAACACTTTGGTTCTAAAATATTTGACCGCTGACACAGTATACTAAGAGACAATATTCATCTTTGAAAAGGACTTCTTACTTACATCTGCATTTGTTTCTCATTATATGTACGTAATATTAGTATAAATCAGTTATAAAATAAATTTTGAAAATTATTGAGACTACTCAGTTTTCATTTATAACTAGATCGGTTGGTATGACGGAGAAAGTTTTTAACGGACATTTTGTTTTGAAAAAAGCGTTTCATCTGTTTTTTGAGATTCATAATGACTGGGCGTTTGCGCCGCTTGAATGCTACCAAAGAAGTTAAAGTCGCAACTAGAAGGTAGGTATACAGATAGAAAAACACCACTGGTTTACCATTTCTTGTGATTTCTAGTTACCAGAATGAAAAATAAGTCTCTATAGCAAATGGGTTGTTGTTGTTGTTGTCTATGTTACTATATTACAAGCGGCGAAACAACTAAAACTTGTCAGTTACTATTTCGAACTATGTATCTATAAGTGGTAATGGTATACAAAAAAATTACGAAAAAACACCTTTGCAGAAAATTTCACAAAAAGTTTGATGACTTAAGAGTCGAGTTTCTTCAATTGTCGCAGATTTTTAGTTTACGTTTTGATAATCAAGGAGATACGATCGCCTTGGATCTCCAAATTTGGTCCTTCGAGCCGGACCTCTTCAATTGTTTGTTTACTTTATAAAACATTTGAAAGTCGACATATGCTTCTATCTGCATTAGATTTTCATCGAGTATACGTATATCAAAACTGTTCAATTTACGTAAAAATAAATCATAAGATTATTTTGGCTTCAACGTAAAACAATATCGGACAGTTTGTTTCTCTTTACTGTAGTCTTAATAAAATCTGCCAGTTAGCTGTTCCGTGGTTATACATAATGAGAAATGGAAATTGGTCGAGTCGGTTCGTTTTTTCAGAAACGTACCGGAACTGTTATGGGAAAATAATTACGGTTTTTTCGCCGTAGGCTGGACGCGCAAAATCCCGATTTCACGGTGCGCTTTTTGCGTATGCACTGTTTCCTTCGACCCGGACAAAACTTTATAGAGAATGTTCAACGAAGCTGGACGACTATCTCGAATTCCATTCGTGCATAAATAAGTAGCTTTTTGCCGGTCAGCACTGCTTAATTTAGTTTTTCATCGCCGCCTTCAATCGATATCCTCCACTACGGACCCTCTGGGACCATTCCCATGCTATTTCCTCTAATCCTTCGATCTAAGGTCCTGCGACTATAAGATGTATCAGGAACAGAACAACTCTCATCTCTGACTTAAATTTACCGACACGATTTTTCTTTAAAATAACGGAATTCTTGTAGCAAACCTCGTACAACTAAAAAAAAAACCTCAATCCCTCCCATGTCTCTCTTAATTAGTTAATACGCTTGTTGAGTGACTATTGACACAAGAAAACATCATCGGAAGGTGATAATAATGGACTAAAGACTTGCATGAATATTGTTAGTGTATGTCCCGTTTTACGATTAGTAACATTATCTCCTCAAGCCTTGGCAAACAGAAGCATCTTCTAAAAATCGCACTTTGATCACACAACTACCGATACTACCGCAGCAGGCATTTAGTTGAGAAAACAACATCCAGTAAACGAATCTCGTTTATTACAACCGTTATTTCTACGTAAAGTATCCATGTAGAAATGAGACGTCAAGGTACTTAGTGTGTGTAATTTCAAAAGCAAAATAAACAAAACGGCGAACCTCTCTCGGAACGGTAATAATAATCTGCTAACGTTTCTTGTTCTTCTTCTTTTTCGTTTCTATAATAAAGAGCGGACGAGAGGCACAAATGAAAATTACTGAACTGGTTTCGTATTAGATGTCAGAGTCGATTAAGTGTGTGTGATCATCGCTAGAACTTGCACCAATTAAGATCAAGCAATACTGTCGAGAAATTTGCCATTTAATGCCAATGTATGATGTTGATTGTACATAATTCCACAGATTTCAGGACTTTTGGTCCTTCGAAACGTCTCATTTTTTATTACACAAAATATTTGAGAATAAAGACGATAAAATAGTCGTATGGTCCTTCAAGCCGAACTTTCCGACTGGAAATTTGTTAGGGCTGCGGTCCGTATCCTATCTGGCACAGTTGACTTCAAATAGGGAAATCCTGTGTGGTTCAGATAAGGTATCCCTTCCACATTACGCCCACAAAAATTAATCAGAGAGAAAATACGGTAGATTTCCTTGTTTGGTCCTTCGAGCCGGATCTGCTATAATTGTCACAGCTTTCTTGCAAATTTAATCTGTTAATCAGAGTCGGTAAAGTAACGCACTGTCACTGCTCATTTTCCCAAGAATTGCGTCACCTTTCCGCTAATTAATTGTACTGTAAAGGAACGTGAGAGAGATTAAGAACGAAAAAAAAGTAGTCGGCTGCCGAGGGACAGGTACGACGGTCACTCTATAATACCTTACTCGGCCTTCTCGTTAAATTGTTTTAAAATAAACTATATGCAGTTAATACTTGTAAATAGTGCAGTGGACGGAACCGTTAATTAATGAAAGATCCTGTTCAGTAATTTACTGTATGCCTTAAGGAGCTAAATGAATAATAACGTAACTGGCATATGGTATTTGCAAATTTGTTTTGTGTCAAGTCATAGCATCGGTTACTATGTAAATGTACCGTATTATTTGGTGTTGCAAGTCGATACAAGTACTTATGTAGACCAGGAAATGATTTCTCAAAACATATAGACAAGAATATTACTGCTGATCAGCTTTAGTTGATTCCACGATCCTGAAAAAGGATATGCATCTACTTAGCTTGATGATAATGAATCATTGTAGGGATACAGCAGCCTCTTCTATGTATTATTAAGTTTTAAGATAGAATCGTTTAATAAATTCAATATCCAATTTATGAATAATTATTAGCAGCTACATATAAATTTTTTGTTTCAGATGTACGTGTGACGAAGGATATACTGGAAAGGATTGCGAAAGTGAATATATTCCATGTGATCCAAGTCCTTGCAAAAACGGAGGTGCGTGTAGGCAGAGGGACAAACATTCCTACACCTGCGAATGTCCCACAGGTGAGTTTAATTACATTTTTACTATTTTGTTCGTATTTCTTTAATTCTAGAATGTTCCGGAATCTTCCAGCCCTGTTCACTCTAGAATGTTTCCCTTGAAAACTATAATCCTAGATATTCGAGAACATTCTAGCTGTGGCTGTGGACCAGCTCAAAAACATTAAAAAGAACATTCAAGTAGATACAGTGGTAGTCTTCTAAACAGGTGTTCTGTGACATTTTACTCGAAATACGAAATATAGTGTTAAAATTCAACCCCAATACTTATACGTAATGGTTCTTGAACATTCCAGAACATTCTCGAGATTTCGGGTCAGATATATTCCAGAACACTTTTCTCAAAATATAAAAATGCCACTTTCAACTCCCGTATCTTCCACACCCTTATAGTTATCAACACACAACCACTATAGAACGCTGGGGACGACAGCCAGTGATATGTATGTGGTTTTGTCCGCTGATTTAAACGTTTTAATGTCTGGAATTACGTTACATTATACCAAACATTGCAGGTTTCTTTCAGAAACTATAGGTGTTTAGATTTAACGTTATGATTGTTCGGACATCAGACTTGAACTTCGAATATCGGAACCAAAATTTTAATGTATGAGCCGCGAACAGGCCGTCGCTAGGTTTTCTTCGCGTTCATCTCTTCTCGTACGAGCACAATGAGATCATTTATCATTGTGCTGGAGACAGAAGAACACAGCATCTTCTTCAGCCAAGGTCGCAGGCCATTGTTCTGCCGCTGCCTTCGGTAAATGCTTTTCGTTGTTTTTTTTTTGTTGCTTTACTGAGTCCCTCCTGCTCTAGCTGTCTCAGTCGATTTTAGCACACACTTGTGAATTCAGTTACGTGTACGTAAATACATTTCATTTATTTATCGATGTCAATTGGTTACTTAACCGCGAATTTTATTAGGTTTGAAAGTACTTTCTTTCTTTCTTTTTTAATTCGTATATCTCTGGAGAATTGATCCGGATGACCCCGCCTCGACGAGGTCGTCTGTTGTTGTTCTCAATTCGTGAAGATCCTCAGATAACATCTGAATACGATTCCGTATTATTATCACTCTCTAGCTCGTTGGGCAGTAACAACCTCTTCCTCCGGTTCCACGACGAGAGACATCACAATGGCTGGGCGATTTCTCACAAACGCCACCAAAATTTTTATTTTCGATTAACGGTGGCTCTTAAAACCATTAACATACAATGGACGAAGATGTCTTGAGACGACTTGTACCATTCGTCAGTGTTAAGAGAAGGAGACACTTCTTCTAGACATCAGAAACTCGAAAAATATTTGCATACTTGCAATCAGGGAAATCAATCTGTCCTTAAGGCTAATTGCATTACGTTTTTTCCAATTATATTGTAATATACTACGTATAGGCGACAAATCACTAACAGCCCATTAAAACAGGGAAAGCTTTACGTTCTGAACTTGGTTTAGGACTTATCATCAGTTGTTGCTGTTGTAATTAATCGTATGGTGATTTCTCAGAGATCGCGCTTTCACTTTCGCGCATTTGGAGCTATTTGTCTGTAATCGATATCCAAATCGATTCCTTCAAATCCCTGAACGTTGTTACACGTGAGAGCAGATCGAACTGTACGATCACGAAAGTAGGTCGAATTTGAGCCCGGAACATGGGCACGACTGACTGGTTATGTGAGTGCATCAACCAGCGAAATTATCCAAATAATGACCTGTAATGAGACCTCGAACGTGGCCTATTATGTATTATGGGATATCGATTTTCCGCATGAAATTTTCACACACACGTACACAACACAGTTTTAATTTTAACCGGCTCGATGGACCATTCCATTTTATTTTGAATTATACAAAAATTGTACAGAATCTACATCAGCATCTAAAAAATAATTACGGAGGACTTGTAAAACAACTTTCCCGATGTCACTGCGCATACTAATACAAAAAAGGTTGTTGAAGCGTACGCATATGTTAAAGGTATGATAAAACGGAATTGATTGCCGACAAAACTAAAAAGCTTTTTAGACCGTCTCCACTACTTGACGATGTTCAAATCGAGGGACCACATCAATTCGCCTCCCCGTAAACGAATTTACATTAGACATCACGTACGAAAGATTTTGTGGTTTATGTCGGGAGATGAATTCAGGATCGACCGTTTTCACTAAAAGAATAACCCCAGTGATTTTTTACAACTTGCGATTAAATAAATGCATCGTGGGTTAATAAAATTTTTACGACTGGTAGATGTGATCGTCCAAGCTGTCGGGCGACGTCGAGGGACCGGTTATTAAATATACTTATGTATGTGTATGAATTCTTTCGCCAGAAAATGACACTTGGTTTATAAAGACGGTCTTTTAGTTTTGTTCGTGTTTGTCTATTCGTATGTAAATTCCCTAGCCGCGACTTGTAATCCTGTCGTATGTATTATAACACAAAAGAAAAAGAAGAAGATAAGATGCGAGTTTGTTTAGTTTATTTAGGATTAACGCCGACACACAGTAGGAGAATCTGAAATTTTACGCCGATCCGAAGCTTCCAAATTCTTTATTCGAGATGTTTATGAATCTGGCATACCTTTGCGAAATTTCGACTTTATGTGCGGATAAAACGCTGTAAATTAGTTATTTCGCTTGTACTATTAACAATAAGGGTGAATAATTATTGTAAACAAGTATTATAAATGCATGAGCTTAAAAATGCTGCTCAATCATTGATATTGGCAAACCGAAGTGTGCATTGGCGATTGCTGTTGTCAGACATTATCAAAATAATAATAACTGTCACTTTCTACCCTTATTTTATATCTTTTTACCCAAAAAGATATAATAAAACAGTAAATTGTCAAAATCACCGTTGTTTTACACCCTACTATATCAGCACCTACTACTTATTTGATAAAGCATCGCATAAAATCGTTGCTGGGACAATTGTGCACATTGAATTTTTCCCATTGTTCGTATCATTTGTTTTCTCGTGCGCGACGGCGGTTTTGCCTTTCAATTCGTGGTAATTACGGGAGCACGCCCATGCTAAACTTTGCCCCGAACCGTCCCCGTCCGGATCGGCACCGACAATGTAATGTTCGAGACAGCCTGAGGAGACCCGAGCGTCGACATGCTACGGCATGGCATGGATCATTACTTTCCCGCCCACTTCTACTCTTTAGCTTTTCTAGTTTTTTTCTTCGTCCTTACTCCATAGGTACAAACCGTCTCTTTCTATCTCGCTATCGAATGAGAAAGAAAGCAGTAGAAATTTACCTGAAAAGAATCTGTCCGCATAAGAAATGATTTGGTCCTTCGAGCCGGATAGAACAAAATCAGTGAAGCTTCGTATAGATTTAAAGGGCTTGGGTCTGGCCGTGTAGGTACCACTCGGTACAATTTGTTGTACACACGGTAAGCATCGTGGTGAGCGAATGAGACATGTGTATATTGTCGTGACGTTCGTGGTACATGGGTAATGGTAATGGTAATAGTGATTCCTCTCTCGCAGTTCCGGTCAAAGGGTCCGTCTATCGTCTTTTTCCCGATCGCTGGATGTGTTTTGCGTGCATGCACCGTGGTCGACGTACTGCTGCTGCTGCTGCTGAAGATGGGACCCGACGACAACGCTGTATCCGATTTGTTAAACACGGGGATATTATGCACAATATCTTTCGTTCGTTTGGCAGCCTGCTCCTTCTTCTTGTTCTTCTTATTCTTCTTGGCATGGCCTGTTGTCGCACGAACGCACACTGAACTTACTCGTAGACTGGCTGCTACCCATCTCCACCACGGTTATCCTTTTTCTTCTTTCGTCTAATGCGGCTCGTGCTCCTTTGTCGTATCGCGCCGGAGGCAATCTTCGGTTGGTCTGTCCGATGGTCGTGCCCATTGCATCTACATGTTAGATTACAACGATTTGCTACCGGTCTCGTTATTATACGTTCGGCGTGTCGTTTGGTATATCAAGGAGTCACCGGAGACTATGATGTGACTATTTCCTCTCACCCCAGTCCATTGCCACAAACCAGACAAGGGCTGTACCCTCCTGGACCTCACTTTTGTTTTGGCCGGTTTACTTTTGTTTTGTTATTGGACGGTTTTTCTTTTGTTTTGTTATTGGACGGTTTTTCTTTTGTTTTGTTATTGAACGGTTTACTTTTGTTTTGTTATTGGACGGTTTTTCTTTTGTTTTGTTATTGGACGGTTTACTTTTGTTTTGTTATTGGACGGTTTACTTTTGTTTTGTTATCGGACATCATAATATCCTGCGGTTTAGACGCCGAAAGAGACTTTTTCTTGAATCCTGCCATCAGAGGAGGATAACTTTTGCTACACGATGACGTGTCCACCACATCATGAAACTTAAAACTTCTCCTCCTACAAGTTATGCTAATGAATCAATTTTCTTTCATAGGCAACTCTTCGTCGCTCTTCCAAGATGTCTCATTGTCTTCTTTCGTCGTTGCTTTTATTTTTGTTTGCTATTATGAACTTTACTGTACAATTTATTGTGCGGTCAGTTTCTCGATAGGACAGTCCGCAATTTGCATCTAAAATAATTATGATTCATGGTTGTTGAAGTATTAATTAATAGTTTGACATTGAATGGGTGTGTTCTGTCATCATGGTTTGCCCAACGTTGAGAAAGGTACATTCGTCCATGTGGCCCGATGACAACAGTGGAACTCAAACTGTTGTTATTATAAGGGAATGGTTTAGTCTACAATACCATGGAGATAGATGATAATACATAAGCATCTGTGTTTTACCGTCAGTTTTGCTACAGTTTTATGGTTGAACAATTTTGCGATCACATCTTCGAGACCTTTAGACGTTGCAGTGGAACATTTTAGTAAAAACAATTCTACATAAACGGTATTAAGTTGTATCAGAAGAATGAATTAGTAAATCGTTTATTTTAAGTGTTAAATTACATCCAGTTGGAAATAAGGATGCTGTCATATTTGAGGCTCGATCAAACTAACCCAACAGTAATATAACATATATATATTATGCGTGTCCGGTTACAAAATGTTGATGCATTAGATGTACCATCATTATACCTATGGACAGATATGTCTGATGGACGTTTCGGCTTAATCTTCATAGTCGCATTCATCTATGCAGAGACGCGTGTATGTGGGCGCACGATAACAGTAAATTTGAACGTGTATATTTGCGTGTAGCATCGTCCGAAAAAAAAAACGGATTAAATATTAACATAATACCCACATTAAGAAGAAGAATATGGATTGGAGGAATCGATTTCGGAAAGTATGGACGGACAAACATGCCGTATTGTCGAAGAAGCAGATCGCATTTCAAAGTAAACTCTTTAATGCAGAATACGTTGAAAATCAATGTCAACACCTCCGTAACGGTCGTAAAAAATGATTTTAGTTTCTTCGCAACACCTTTTAGAACGTTTACAACGGGTCTCGATTAGATCTTACAACAGCTGAATATGTAAAAACTGAATAAATTTTAGATGAAGCGTCAAATTTGCTATTCAAAACGTGGTATTTGAATCTACACTACAAAAATGTTGAAAATATCCCGTAACAATCCTTGTAAAGTCGTTTTTACCCCAAAAATTCGAGTATCGGCTTAATGTCATTACAAATCGGCCATTTTTGTCATTCGTTTCTTGTACATGTCGGCCATTACTTTTTCAATTGTTTCAGCTGTCGGCCATTACTTTTTCAATTGTTGTAGCTGTCGGCCATTTTGATTTTCAATTGTTGCCGTTATCGGCCATGTTGGTTTTCAATTGTTGCCCCTGTCGGCCATTATAATGTTTCTATTGTCGTTTGAATTTAAAAAAACCGCGTTTTTCTTTTAATTTTCTTATTCCTTAACAGAAATATATCTAATAAATAACGTATGAGGAAGAGTACATACGTTGCCTATGTGATTTAAAGTAAAAGGAACTGCTAATATTATTTCCGATTGTTTCGATAATAAACGTTTAAATCATTGCCGCGGATTTATAGATTCGTGCGTGCGTGTGCCCTCAGTTTGCATTATTTATTGTATTTTAGTCGAGAATGCGCATAAACCAAGCGACTGTCAAATATTTTGTCTGAAACAGTCTTAGGAGTGCAATAAAGATATTATAAATGGCTTTTCCTTTTATACGTATGTAGAATTACCGGCGGTCACAGATGGCTGGTCAGTACCAAATGCACTGTTGTAGTATACAACGTCTTATTCACTACTTGATCTCATCATCAGTACAATAAAATACATATGTCTCAAACATTACACAGTTATTGTAACTTTTACTTACCTTAAAGGTTTATCAGGCTAAAGTTAGAAAATCGTCCTGTAAGGACCCCTGAAACAAAAGAAAAAAACATTTGAAATAGACCGCACTTGTAATAGTTTTATAAACAAATGAACAAATATATTCAATGTAACAACCTCAACTAGTTGGCGGAATCATTTGTTTTAAGTGTCAATAACGCCCTTACAAACAAAAGAAAAGAAGACATTTGAACTTGACCGTGCCTGTGACAACGTAATAAACAAATGAAGGACGATAATCACGCCATTATTACGTGTTGGTGCATTTCCTTCTTCAAATCTGTTAGCTGATGTCTCCTGCAGAGTACTAAAGATACCTATTGCCTGTCTTCGACCAATAATTACCCAGACGACTCCCGTTACATGGTTTGCAACTTGTTCGTTTAAATAAATGCCAATTATTCAAGAAACGAACTGACAGACAGAAGTACCGTGTGGTGTACTTTGAATAAGAATTGACAATAAAATAGTTTTTCTCTTTTTTTGTTCAACAAACTGAAACGTTTAGAAATAAACGGGCCGATGTGAAAAGGCTTATTTACACTTAATTAGACGTTTTTTTTGTTGTTATTAGGTGGTACAGTTTTATCTTAATTATCCCTTTTTTTATGACGATGTATGTTTTTTATTATTAATCAATTAATTAATTAAGGAAGTTGTCTTCTATACAGTCACCATCTCGCTGATTCTAAAGTGTAAAATTTATCGATGTTTTAAGTGTTATAACATCGGTGTTCTCACACGGTATAAGTTCGTTTTTCGACTCGCGTCATTGATTTTCCTCGCGAGACTCTTCCAATTAATGCAATAAATACTCTACTGTTAATTGCATGAAAACACACTTTAATAGTTGTATTTATTGGTTACAATTTTTAATTATCTTCCCTAACATAATAATATATATATATATTCCGTTTGCGTTTTTATTAGATAGGTATATTTATAATTAATTTTTAAACATATAATTTTATTGCTGTAAAGACACACAAAACAATCTTTGCAGGTCTTGCGTTGGTTTTTGTTAAAAATTTGAATGTCCCATTTTGGGGTTTCAACTGTTATTACAGTGTTTCAATTGTCGCTTGAATTTAAAACAAACGACAAACACGTAGCAGTACATTTACGTTTGTACAACTACGATAGTTGTTTATTTCTTTTTCTTTTTTTTGTTTAAAGCGAGCCGGTATGGCTACCGTTTACGTTTAACCGCTAACGTGTAGATGTAGGTAGAGAGAAAGAAAGATTGTATGGGTTGATTTACCCAAGTAATTGGAACAGTATGGGCAACTGCCCGCTGTTCAAAAGGAAAAATGTTCTTTGCACAGATTGCTACGACGTGATAAATGCTTGGAGCCCCATGTCGAGGCTGTAGCAATTACGAGGGAATTAAGTAAAAGATTAGCTCTATGTTTTAATTAGCGTGGATCTACCGTCTTCCAATACGATAGATAACAACAATAAAACGGTTCGCATTTATCTGCTTATGCGAGCAACAGAATTTTTCGCCAGTTACCTACTTACGATTTGTTGAAGATTGTAGGAGTGTATGCACGAATGTATTCGTTCAAGGATTTAGTACGTTAATCCGAAGAAAACCCTAATACTTATTATTTAGAAGTTGCAAATTAAAGATTAGGATTGATAATGGGATTTTCTTTTAAGATTGAAACCAGAAACTGTAAAATTTATGATAAGATAAGAAGGTCCTGTATTGTGTTTATTTTTAATCCTTGTTGTTGTTGTTCTTGTTTGTTTTTTAAATCGTGGCATTAATTTTACTCTAAAACAGAGTTAAAATAAATTTTTTCCCACGGTCAATTGTTCTCTTGCAGTAAACAGCTGTGTATACACATATATCTCGGCGCCCACACTGCGAACTATCATTTCCCTTATCACATCCAGCTTTCGTCGACAAACTACAACAGTCTTTAGCGGTTTTCTTGATTTCCTGTGCCGATTTAAATTTTTACTGAATTCTCTCCCACAATAAGCCGAAAGGAAATAAGATTTGTTCCCGTTGCGTCGTTTTCAATTAAAAATGTAATGCGCGCTCTAATTATGAACAGTCAGTTACGTATATCGCAGTTGGCCGATCTCATTTTGTTTTTAGTTGGCCTTAATTGTTTTTGCTGTCGGCCATTTTGGTAATCTATTGTTTTCTCCCAATTTTGTTAGCCACTGCGTATTTTCAATTGTTATTTCAATTTTGAAATGAGCGGGAAATTAGAGTTTTGGAGCGAAAGAATTCGTATTTTTGCTATCATTTCCCAAAGTACCTACATTTCTTGTAGAAAATATGTATTTACATATTTTATCAGTCATTAGAAAGTGAAATGGGTCGATAAGAGTTCACCTGTATTTGCACAGGGATTTACGTAGATGTTTCGTTGACTTTTTATTGTGACTACAACATATAATCCGTTGGTTGGCAAATAATTGTGAATGACAAGTTTGCATTTTTTAACGGGCACGCTTTTGAAATAAAGTAAACTTACGTCACTGTTTCCGTTTAAATAAGATTCAGACATTGGAAGAGAGTTATCTTTAGTAAAGGAGAATTTACCAGATGTGTAAAAAAAAAAAAGAATGTAAAGTGGATACAGAGAATTTTGCTTGGCTTTTGCTGTTCGTTCGAGGACACCGTGATGACATTTCAATCAAATTGGATCAATTTGAAATCTGATCTTCACGCTTTTCTATGCAGCATAATAGCGATCTTTTCCTTTTTAGAAAAACTGACTGTTTCTTTTATATAAATAATAATTTGTTACTTGTAATATATTTTCTCTTTGTTGTCAGCGTTCAAAATCGTTCAAGGTTTTTAACATTGCCTCCGTCGTGTTTCACGGGTACATTGGCGTAAGGTTTTCTTCGTCATATTCGAACGGCAGTTTTGAATAAATTATACAATCCGATCCATATCTATTATAAACTCCTCTAAGTGAACGTTTTGCTTATTTGCGATCGCAAAACCTAAAAGAACAGCCTTCTCATTTGAAATATATGACAGTAATTAGACAAGAAATTGCCGGTAGACAATTTTGAATAATCTTGGATTAAAAACATTCCTCCTTTTCTTGTTTCGAACAGGACTGGAATGTAATTCTTCTGTTTCAATGTTGTTGCATCTGTTTTTTCGTCTTTTGTTTCCCCCTAACGAAATCGAGAAACAAAATTAAATCGGTTTCTTTTGTTTCAGGTTTTCGCGGTCAAAATTGCGAAGAGAACATTGACGATTGTCCAGGGCACCAGTGCCAAAATGGAGCAACGTGTGTGGACAATATCAATTCCTATACGTGCCAGTGTCCATCAACTTATACAGGGCGTTATTGCGAACAAGATGTCGACGAATGTTCCTTAAGGCCATCCGTTTGCCAAAACGGCGCTACTTGTACCAACAGTGTCGGAGGATTCTCCTGTATTTGCGTAAACGGATGGACAGGGCCGGACTGTTCCGTAAACATCGACGATTGTGCTGGAGCTGCTTGTTTTAATGGCGCTACTTGTATAGACAGAGTTGGGAGCTTTTACTGCCGTTGTACGCCCGGAAAAACAGGTAAATTAGTTTTATTTCGATTTTGTTTTTCTCCTTCGTCAATTGTCCTGTTTACGTTTTTTGTTTTGTTACATTGTTAGAAATTTCTCGTTGTCTCTGGCCAGAGAGCACTCGGATCGTTACATACAGCCACACCTTTTGTTTTCTTTTCTTCCTGGTGTTATCTGTCAGTTGTTAAGGCAGTTATAAACGACAATGCCCCATTGGCATGTATACATGTATACTGTAAATGCACACCGAACCTTTAACATGTATTGACATTTTACATGTACCACTAACATTCTGAAACAATCGCATACGAAAACCTCTTTTGTTTCAGACAACAGAATGCTTTTGTTTCTTGTAGCCAATATCAGATCCATAATTTCGATACTTTCGAGCAAAACACATTTAATTTAATAAACGAAATGAATGCAATCAGAAAACGTTTTAATTGTTTTTTCGCGTAAAGTATTAGAAAGCAAATTAATTAACAATCATAAATGTTTTGAAATCGGCCTAAATCTACAATATATGAACTGAGCAATAATTTTTGTCCCCGTTCAGGCAATTTCTCTCTAGTTAATCCGCGTACAAATTTACATACGAACCATTTTATTTCACATTTCACATGCTCGAAGAATTAATGGCAACAATTTCAATTTTAGTTGGAAATCCATTCACATACGTAAGACATCCGTTCCTATTGCTACGACATATATGGGATAATTTAATTAATTAGCTATATGGATATCTTTAGGTAGTGTTGCAACAAGATTTTCACTCCCTTTACTAAACAAAATAAAATCCTAATTCCAAATATTTATCATCACATTTTACCACACATTTTCTTTGTTTTTTTTAATATTCTCAGTAAATTTCGTACAAAACATTCCAACCAGATGCTCTTTTGTTTGTAATTATTATTGCAAGCATTAAAAACCACATGTTATGGTGTAAACCAATACTAAAACACTCTTCATATGTTTGACATGAAAGTGTACAATGGCTTCTATAAACCACTTTTTTATTGTCTAATTATTCTCTAAGGTTTTGCCTATGAGACAAAATTTTTTTGCTTGTAATAGCAAATGTAGTCAGATGTATTCCCAGGGCTAATATTTAACAGGTTTTTGCTCGAAATGAAAAAACTCTAAGAATGGTACACTAACTCGGTTCCCATCATCAAATTCAGTTGTAGCAAAGAGGGAACGGAACCTGCATTTCAATTAATATCTTCGAGCTAATAAATAAGTTACTATATTTTATAATTTCCACATTAAAAGCAATTAGGCGCGCTATAAATTAACGATCATGTTGGCCGTTATGGCTTTTCAATTGTCATTTAATTTGAAAATAGCCGGCAAATGACAAATGAAAAGCACAACTTTTGTTTCTGAATTGTTTGGCGTCGAGTTGTGGCAGTGAACAAAACAAAAGAGAAAAAAGAAATGAACGACGTTAAAAATTTTACTTCGAGAGGGAATGCGAACGATGCATTTGAGTAGTCTAAAGCACAGGTTGCAATTAACATGGACCATTAATTTAAGCAATTAAACGTTCACTGAGTCGCAGAATGCCTTAATAATACGGTAAGCAAACGATTAAGTGGGAGTGAAGCGAGATCGCCTGCTGTTAAAAAAAATTCCTTTTAACCTGCCTACTTGAGTCATAACGTAAAGAACTTCTTTTAAAACGACGTACGTACCGCTACCGCTAAATAAATATGTAGAAAAGTGTGTCTTATGGAAGAAGAATTTCTTAGGATGACAGTGTGGATTTCGATTCAAAATTAATACCCCGAATAAGCCATTATTCTTTTGTTTTAGGGCTGCTCTGCCATTTGGACGACGCATGTACGAGCAATCCTTGCCATGCCGATGCTATCTGCGATACGAGTCCAATCAATGGCTCGTACACATGCAGTTGTGCCTCAGGATACAAAGGAATCGACTGTTCGGAAGACATTAACGAATGCGAACAAGGTATCGTTTAATAACATTCATTTTTTTCCCACTTATATTGGATCGACCTTCTCGTTTGACCAACATACGTATCTACATTGGTGTTCTTTTGTTCCAATTGCAATCGGACTTGTCGTTGCGCCAACGTAACACACTCTTAACAAATACGGTTTGACTGTCTGTAAAATTCAGTTGTTTTCTTCTTCTCCAATGTTTTCCGATGTGAATTGTTATCCCGATGCGATATTGTTCGGTCGCTAGGTATGATTGTCGATTTTTTTTTTGTGTTGTTCAGATGGATCTCTCTGGTAACGTTCGATCATTGACCTTACACCACTCATTATATAATTTGATATGCACGATCCGATTTGAATAGTCAAACGAAGGCGTACGCAGCGTCGGTGGGGCTTTTGCCTTTTCGTCCTCTGTTTTTCTCTCCTTCTCTCTTCCATTCTCTTTCGTCTGCAATGATGTTCGTTTGTTTGTTTTTCAATAGGACGATTTCGAGCGATAACAGTGCCTGTTGCAACTGAATAGTTTATCTTGTAACTTAATTGGACGGCAAGTCAATCAATGTACGCAAGAAGAAGAATATCGACTTAAATTATCGATTATGTTCTTTAGAAGCTTAATTGCCACTACCGTTCTTTTATTTCGAACGTACATTATGGGTGTTCTCTAATCGATGGGAGTGTGAGAAAGTCAATTAATTTGTAATTTTCGTATTGATTAAAAATAATCGCGTATTATTTCTCGATGCGGAGTTTACTTTTTCCTTGTCGCGTCTTGTATTGTTTTAACTCCAAATTGACGTTAATAACGGACAATCTGTTGACCTTTGCGGTCGTACGGAATTTTTTGCGTTCCCTGATGATTACCAGTTAATTTCAGATTGGTTGAGAAGAGCATTGCCGTCCTTACAACAGTTGGTCACGCTTAACTATCGTAATTTGAAATATTTATTTCATTCATGTTTTAGTATTTTTCGTTTAACATTCAAATAATGCGCCAAAAGTGTATTATTTTCATATTGGTCGGTCAAATACGCTTTAATCCTTTACCATATTGGTGCTACTGTCGGCCATTATGATTTTCAATTGTTATCGCTGTCGGCCATCATGGTCTTCAATTGTTACTGTTATCGGCCATCATGGTCTTCAATTGTTGGAGCCGTCGGCCATCATGTTTTTCAATTGTTGCTGCTGTCGGCCATCATGGTTTTCAATTGTTGGAGCCGTCGGCCATCATGCGTTTCCATTGTTGCTGCTGTCGGCCATCATGCTTTTCAATTGTTGCTGCTGTCGGCCATCATGCGTTTCAATTGTTGTTGCTATCGGCCATAGTGCGTTTCAATTGTTGTTGCTATCGGCCACAATGCTTTTCAATTGTTGTCGCTTATATTCATTTGTTATCGACAATTTTTGATTGTCGATTGTTACCGAATAAGGTTATATAGGTAGCTTTTTAATTTTTTGAGCTTAATAAGACGACGAAAATGTAACTTCTTGAGCCTGTATTTTAAACGATAACTTTATACACTAGTCAAACGTATGTACATTTAAGTAGTGTACAAAGAGCACTGTTGGTTTATGATAGATATTAATCTTAATGAACGCCCTATAAGAGATGAAATCAGATCGATCTAAAAGGCATCTGGTTATAGCCACAAACAGTTGAGCGTGCAGACATTGACCGGCAATTTTTTCATCAAAGAACGGGTTGTTTGTTACAAGAAACAACCAACACAAGCATTGTATATACACCACGTACCAACATGTTGGCGCCTAATTCCCTGCATTATTCTATGCATATTAACTAGCTCATCCATTACATATTATATTGCTTACAAAAGAACAAATATAAGTATACGTTTGCATGTATGCAGTTGAGCGAATGCAGTAATTAAGGAAATGGACATGGACATTTAGATCGCACATCTACAATTTGAACCGAAATACTGATGGTTTTGTGTAAAAATAATTATTCATCAAAACAAAAACAATTGAATATGTAATTTTACAGCTTCAATATTAATATGAAAATTTTAACTGTTTACTACTAAATTTTATGACATTCTTCTCAATCTCAGTTTGTTTTTTTTACGTATTTATTAATTCTTTTTGAGTGCGCTCCCAAAACCATCAACATCAAAAAACTTGACGACATTTTTTACGTAACTTTCACTTGTTTATTTTTCTTTTTAGGAGTATAATTTCGAATCTTCCTGATTCTTCAGTTTATTAAATCTGTCATTAAGAAATAATTATAGCTGACGTAGTTGGTACAACCCAATCAACAAATACTTGTTAGATATTCGAGTATCAAAACCAATAAAAGGTTTTATTAGTGTAAATTATGAATAATAATTTTTAATGTTGGTTACATCCGATACTTGAACCGACCGATTTTTACAATAATAATATTTATCGTCACCGGACAATTTATTGAACCACTTTGCCTATCACTTAGCCCGTCGTCATTTTTCTGGAATAATCTCAAACCTTATTTATCCAAACATCCATAGATAGTTTAATGACTTTAAATAGGAGACACTTAATTCTTGCTGCAAGTGTCTATAAATCCAGTTATTTCAGAGACGTCTTTTTGCCTAATACGGTCTTAACACTATTTATGGTGACAGTTTATAGTTATTCTTCCATAAAAGTAAAAAATATCCTTCCATTTTTATTTTTATTTCGAAAGCGAAACCGTCTGTTTTTATATAGGAGGTATATCATCAGGCTTGCCTTGATCAAGTTATCTCATTCTTAATTATGGACAGCATTTAATGATTTTAAATCGAGATCTTCATTACCTTCGGAAGTTTGCAACGTTATCGTAGCAATTCGATCATGTAGGGGGTAATAAAATCTGCCGATGTAGTAAACTTTAATGAAAAACACTCGTGTTGAGGAGATCGTAGTCTTGTGAAAGATATACAGAGGGTTTGCAGAATGTGAACCGAATTTTGCTGTTTTTTCAGGCTCCCCATGCGAACATGATGGTATTTGCGTGAACACACCAGGGAGTTTTGCATGCAATTGCACCCAAGGCTTCACCGGACCCCGTTGTGAAACAAACGTTAACGAATGTGAAAGTCATCCATGTCAAAACGATGGGTCCTGTCTAGACGATCCTGGCACATTTCGATGCGTTTGTATGCCAGGTAAGTGATCCAAAAATCTGTACAATTTCTTTATTCGTATTTTAAAGTTCAAATAATCCGCCAAATTTCATTTGTTTATGTGTTAGTCGGTCATTACAGTTTTTCAATTGTTAATGCATTGTTTATTGGTCGGCCGCGAGTAGATTTTCAAATGTTATCATACTCTTTTATTTTTGTTTTTCAACTGTTATCGCATTATTGCTGTTTTCTATTATTTATATGTCGCATATGTCGTTGCGTTCTTGAGAAATACATTTGGAATTAAGAGTAGTAATCTGAAGATCTGTATTTCACAATAAAAGAGGAATTAGAACGACTTAACTGCCTGACGATGTTGTTGATAATAACTGTAATAAAGTTCATTGTAATTTCATACGATCCACACCACAATAATTACAAACAATCACGCATCATTATACATGATTAATTTCCCCGAAGGAGAAAAATGAAGTCTGTACTCGTTTGGTAACGTTATTGCTAATTATATTATGGTCTGGCAAGAATATGATTTATTTGACACGAAAAACACTGCTATTTTAGTGAAAGTTCAAGTGGTTGCGTGAACCATTATTTTTAATAGTAAGAGTAAAAAAAAAATTGAAAGAAATAATAATAAAGAATTTAATTTCGTCAGAAATCGTTAAAATACCAAGTCGCAAATTAACAATAAACAATCTATTGACCTGTTGTTCCTTGAGGACGATGTTTAGACATCAAGGGGAGTGTATCTACTATGTATATTTTCAAAAGGGTGAATAAAACAATTTTTTTGCTGACGATCGCGAGTTGAGGTTCGACGTCTGTCGGTCCCTATCGGCGCAGAGAGCCAGAGCAAGGCGTTTCGCTGTAATTGGCCTCATTCCCATAAATATGGCTCGTTTAACTGATGATATTGCTACTCCACCTTATCGTAATCCAACGGTACAATTTAAGTATTAACATTACTTAGAAAATAAACACGAACGAATCTATATTTGCACACAATAGCAATACAACAAGTACCTTGTCTCAACCCGTTTTCACTCGGCACCGGAGAAAATTCCAATTGTTTCCGTAAAATATTCAAACAACTCGCTAAATATTACATTAGAAAGCATGAAGCCACTCTTTTGGCACAAAAAGTCAATTATAATAAGGTTATTAACGTGGCCTTTATGTCGATCTTTATCTTTACAGTCGTCCATTACATTATTTTTAATTATTACGGCTAACGGCCATTTTACCATTCAATTGTTACCATTACTGCCGTTGCTGTTTTGTTGTCGGCCATTATGCTTTTCAATTGTCGGCGCTTTTCGATTGTTACGAAAGCTCGCCTGAATTTAAAACAAGCGGGAAACATGATACTGTTTATCTTATTGTTACTCAAAGCCCTTAATTAGAGTTTGTACCTTAAAACGGTTTATCATAAAGCAAAGCATTCGCGAGCGCTCATCTACAATTTTAAACTTACTATTACAGTATGCAAACCTAAAATTAACTGAGTTTTAATGCTCGCAAAGTAATTTTTTAGTTTAAATGACGTGTAGGAACAGTAGAGTTTATCTGAAATAAACGGCGATAGTCGCCTTTCATTTGTTACACGTAACTGATCAAAGGATTGGCTGAATTTATTAATTTGGCCTAGAAAACTCGACTGTATGCGTTCATAAATGCAACCAGGCGAAAGTTCAACGATTCAACTTTTCATGACACACAAGTACCTATACATACCTATATATGCATATATTAAATAGGGAACAATTTTTTGGTAACTACGAAGAAAAAATGTTTCTTGCAGGATTCACTGGTACTCAGTGTGAAATAAACATAGACGAATGTAAAGAAAATCCTTGCTTAAACGGAGGGACTTGTGAAGATCTAATTAACTCGTTCAAATGTACATGTGCCACAGGATTTACGGGATCAAGATGCCAAATAAACATCGACGACTGCGTTTCTAGTCCTTGCAGGAACGGCGGAATATGCCACGACTCTGTAGCCGCCTATTCCTGCGAATGTCCCCCAGGATTTACAGGTCTGCACCCACATCAAATAATACCCCGTTTAGAAGCATTAAAAATGTGCTTAATCCTTTCAGGATTATCTTGCGAAACTAATATTAACGACTGCGCGTCCTCCCCATGTCATCACGGGGAGTGCATAGATGGGGAGAACTCCTTCACGTGTACCTGTCATCCAGGGTACACCGGGTCCTTGTGTCAATCCCAGATCAACGAATGCGAGTCTAATCCGTGCATGTTTGGCGGCGACTGTCAGGACCTAGTCAACGGGTATCAGTGCATTTGTAAAGCGGGAACGTCGGGACCCAACTGCGAGATAAACGTCAACGAATGCTACAGTAACCCGTGTAGAAATGGCGCCAGATGTATCGATGGGATCAATAGGTAATAATATTGATTTTTGAAAAAAAAAAAAACGAATGGTTCGTTAATTATTGTAGCGTAACGAATATTTTCAAAATTTACGTCGGCTCTAAATTTAATATTTTTGTTTCATGTGTGGCAGCAATAATCCCTTGTCTGAGTAAGTCGAATTCAGTAAAAACTCTTTGATAAGTTCGGAGTGTATTATTTTGTACAATAGTTTCTGGCTTTCAGAGTTTTGCATGCCACCCATTCTACAAACACGGATCAGATTATCATTATTATTTATTATTATTATAATTTATTAAAATTTTAAGTATTACAAACTTTCAACCCAATATTTGTCCCAGTCATGACACGAGATCAGTGTGCTAATGAAAACATTCAGTAGATATTGCTGTGGCCGTTATTAATTTTGTTTTTTATTTCGGCACGAAGATAATTTTAAATCGCTTTCCTCTAATTGGTGACCCCTTTTTGTTTATTTTAACTGCTGCATGATGTTTTTGTTTTTCTTTTGTTCGTTTTTGTTTTTCTTTTGTTCGTTTTTGTTTTTCTTTTGTTCGGGACAATCGGTGATCTAAAATCGCATCAGTGAAAAACAAAACAACATTGTTTTATTGTTCCCTGCAGATACACTTGCGAATGTATACCTGGTTTCACCGGTCAACACTGCGAAACCGACATAAACGAATGCGCGTCAAATCCCTGCGCCAACGGGGGAGTTTGCATCGATCTAATTAACGGGTTTAGGTGCGAATGTCCCAGAGGATACTACGACGCCCGTTGTCTCAGCGATGTTGACGAATGCAAATCGAACCCGTGTAAAAATGGCGGAAGCTGCGAGGATGGGGTCAACCAGTTCATCTGCCACTGTCTTCCAGGTAAGCGATTTGTTCCAGCAATTCGGGAATTTCGAACTAAACAGGCAAACGTTAATAGGTTATGGGGGAAAACAGTGTGAAAACGATATCGACGAATGTGCTTCAAATCCTTGTCAACATGGGGGATTGTGCAGAGATCATTTGGCCTCCTACACGTGCGAGTGCATCCCTGGATACGCAGGGATCAACTGCGAAACGAACATAGACGACTGCGCGCTAAATCCTTGCAAAAATGGGGGATCCTGCATCGACCAAGTGAACGATTACAAATGCATCTGCGAACTTCCATTCACTGGAAGAAATTGCCAGGAAAAATTAGATCCCTGCTCCCCAAATCGTTGTCGACACAATGCCCGCTGCGCTCCCAGCTCCAACTATCTGGATTTCGCCTGTTCCTGCAGCGTGGGATTCACCGGAAGATTGTGCGAACAGGATGTGGACGAGTGTCAAGTTTCGGCTCCCTGTAGGAACGGAGCGACCTGTAGGAATACCAACGGCTCCTACCAGTGCATTTGTGCTCGAGGATACGAAGGCAGGGATTGTACAGTAAATACGGACGATTGTGCTTCGTGTAAGTTGAGAATGGGAAGAATGAAGAAGATGAAGATGTTTTATTTTTTGTTGTTTTAGTTCCATGCCAAAACGGAGGGACGTGTCTGGACGACATTGGGGACTACATCTGCCTTTGTGTAAACGGGTTCGAAGGGAAACACTGCGAAATTGACGTTGACGAGTGCCGATCGAACCCTTGCCAAAACGGAGCCACCTGTAACCAATACGTCGACTCGTACACCTGCACTTGTCCTTTAGGGTTCTCCGGGATAAACTGCCAAACAAATGACGACGACTGTACGGACAGCAGTTGTATGAATGGAGGCACGTGTATCGATGGTATCAACTCCTATACTTGTACTTGTAGACCAGGGTAAGCTTTCCTTTTTTTTCGATCTTCAATTGTTTTTGTTTAAAACGTTATTTTTGTTCAAACCAGGTACACCGGATCGAATTGCCAGAATAGAATCAACCTGTGCGACAGTTCACCATGTCTGAATGGGGCCAATTGCCAGGACCATGTAACCCATTACACGTGCCACTGTCCCTACGGGTATACGGGTAATGACTGTGGAGATTACGTGGATTGGTGTGGAACGAACCCATGTGAAAATGGAGCGACTTGTCGCCAGACCAAGAACCAGTACCATTGCATGTGCGCCCCGGGATGGACGGGGAAAGTTTGCGATGTCGAAATGGTCAGTTGTAAGGATGCGGCATTACGGAAAGGTAAGTGGAACATGTAAGAAAGAATGGGGATTTTGTTTGGAATTTTTGGTGAAGAAGGGATGTTCCTGTAAGGAAACGGAGGGTACACTTAATCCCACGGATATGAATTTTTTGGCAATACCATCCACATCAGTTATATTAAAAAGGGAGTTAGACAGGGATGCACACTGTCACCCATACTTTTTAATCTATACATCGAAGACGCGATCAACAAAACTAAAGACAGTAAAAATGTAGGGATAGATATAGAGGGGCAAAAGATTAGTATGCTTAGATTTGCAGATGATATAACAGAATTAGCATCTAGCAAGGAAGAGTTAGAGATAGCTTTAAATAAAATGGAAGCGGTATTGACAGATCAGTATTGTATGAAAATAAATAAAAGTAAAACTAAAATACTGATATGCAAGGGAAGGAAAAGTAGGGGAAAGAGCGAATATAAAGATAGGAGACGAAAGATTAGAAGAAGTGGCTGATTTTAGGTATCTAGGAAGTCAGATAAGTCAGGACGGAAGGAGTAGTAGGGATATAAAGCAGAGGATAGCGCAGGGTCGAATCGCCTTCAATAAAAAGAAGTCACTTCTATGCCCGCGAATGGTTAATTTCGAAATTCGAAAAAAAAAAACCGTTCGAAATGTGGTGTTACAGGCGAATGATGAGGATAGAGAGGGTTAGAAATGAAGAGGTATTAGAAAGAAATTGAAAACAAAAGACTGTATGGAAGTCAATAAAAAGTAGTTGAAATAGGTTGATAGGACACCTTCTCAGGCATGAAGGTCTAGTCAGAAACAGGAATTAAAAGGAGCAGAGGTAGACCTGGATTAGATTAGATTACTGTTCGCAAATAGTTTAGGATATGCGATGTTCTAGTTTTAGGGAAATGCGAAGATTAACTAAGGATAGGAAGGAGTGGAGGTGCGTGTCCAACCAGTCTTAGGACTGACGATCTTACAATAACCCTCCACATCCTCAATAACCAAAAAAAGAAATTTATGGTACTGATGATGGTTTTTCTCTTTCAATTAGGTGTTCCCCATAAGCACCTTTGCAACAACGGCACCTGCGAGGACATCGGAAATTCTCACCGTTGCCATTGTTTGGAAGGATACACGGGGTCGTATTGCCAACGCGAAATAAACGAATGCGAATCGGCCCCGTGCCAAAACGGCGCCACTTGCAAAGACTTAATCGGCAGCTACTCATGTCAATGTACCAAAGGTTTCCAAGGCCAAAATTGCGAACTCAACGTCGACGATTGCAAACCGAATCCGTGTCAGAACGGCGGGACTTGTCACGATCTCGTGGACACTTTCCAATGTTCGTGTCCACCCGGTACCTTGGGGTACATTTGCGAAATCAACACCGACGACTGTAGACCCGGGGCTTGTCACAACAACGGCACATGCATCGACAAGGTTGGAGGCTACGAATGCAAGTGTCCTGCGGGATTCGTCGGACCTCGATGCGAAGGCGACATTAACGAATGCCTGTCAAATCCCTGTTCGGCACCTGGCACTCTCGATTGCGTCCAACTGGTCAACGACTACCATTGCAACTGCAAACCCGGCTTCATGGGACGCCACTGCGAAGCCAAGGTCAACTTTTGCGCCAACAGTCCGTGCCAAAACGGAGGAGTCTGCGCCACCATCAACGCAGGACACAAATGCACTTGCCAAGACGGGTTCTACGGGAAGAATTGCGAGTTCAGTGGCTACGACTGCGATTCCGATCCTTGCCAGAACGGCGGTATTTGCAGGATATCCGAAGGGGGCGGATACACGTGTGATTGTCCTCTGGGCACTTCCGGGCGCAATTGCGAAATCGATTCTCTGAACGAGTGTGACAGTAATCCTTGCCGTCATCCCGAAGCCACTTGTCAGGATAAACTGGGAGACTACGCGTGCTACTGTCCTCCAAAACATTCCGGGAAGAATTGCGAGATCTACGACAGGAGTTCCCCTGGAGGTGTGGGACATCCAGTCACTGGAGTTCGTAAAGAAAATCCCAACAAGTTCCTCGCCATCGATCTCGAAATCCAACGCAAACTGTGCACGAAAAACAACTGTCGAATGAAACGACGGAACTTCAGATGCGACGAGGAATGTAACAATTACGCGTGCGATTTCGACGGGGGCGAATGTTCTCTGGGTCTGAACCCGTGGCTCAATTGTACCGCACCCATACGCTGCTGGGAAGTCTTTATGGACGGCACCTGCAACGAGGAATGCAACAACGCCCAGTGTCTCTTTGATGGACGAGATTGCGAAAAGACTCTTCCATTGTGCAACCCCGTGTACGATGCCTACTGTCAAAAACATTACGCGAACGGTTACTGCGACTACGGTTGCGATAACGCTGAGTGCAACTGGGACGGATTAGACTGTGACAAAACACCTCCAGCATTGGCGGACGGCGTTATTTCCATGGTACTGTTGATGGAGATGCAGACGTTCAAACAAAACCTGACCGCGTTCCTCAGGGACACCAGCTACCAACTCAGAACCACTGTAAGAGTCAAGAAGGACCAAATGGGTAACGACATGATCTACCCATGGTCAGGATCCACCGCGAGAACAGATCTTCAGGACACCTACTATCTAAACAAACACAACGTGGTGTTTACCGAACAAGGTGGTAGTACAGGGGTCAAGGTCTATCTGGAAATCGACAACAGGAAATGTTCCACCGTTGACACCAGTACGGATTACTGCTTTCAAAGTGCTAACGCAGCAGCTGAATTTCTGGCCGCCAAAGCTTCCAGACATGTCCTGTCCGAATCGTTCCCGATATACCAGGTGGACGGATTGACGGAACCCACAGAAAATCCAGCTGAAGCGTCTACCAATGTGAAGTACGTCATCTTCGGAATTTTGATCGTCATCTGTATCGGCGGTATCATCGGGATCATCGTCACAACGCAACGCAAACGGGCAACCGGAATAACATGGTTTCCCGAAGGATTTCTAAGAACCAATTCGGGCACCAGACACAGATCCAGAAGACGCGGTCCAGACGGTCAAGAAATGCGCAATTTAAACAAGAATCCTTCCATTCCTTGCATGGATATAGACATGGGAGGTCACGTGCAGCACATGGGACACCACCATCACCATCACCACCATCAACCCTGGTCAGACGACGAATCCGACGTGCCCCAACCGAAGAGAATGCGTGTCCTAGAAACTGCCGGAGGTTACGCAAGCGATCACACGGCCATCACCGACTACGAAGAAGCGGAACCCAGAGTGTGGACCCAGCAACACCTGGACGCCGCCGACATCCGACTACCAGCATCGATGCTGACTCCTCCGCCGCAAAACATTGACGCTAACGACGTAAACGCGCGAGGACCCTGCGGAATGACCCCCATTATGGTGGCAGCAGTTAGAGGGGGAGGAATCGATACAGGGGAAGACGAGGAGGACGAAGCGGCCGGCAACGTCATCCAGGATCTGGTAGCGCAAGGCGCGGAATTGAACGCTATGATGGAGAAAACGGGAGAAACGTCGCTCCATCTGGCGGCACGATTCGCCAGGGCGGACTCGGCAAAGAGGTTGCTAGACGCGGGAGCGGACGCCAACGCGCAGGATAACACGGGCAGGACGCCGCTACACGCAGCCGTCGCGGCGGACGCCGTCGGCGTCTTCCAGATCCTTCTGAGGAACCGCGCCACTAACTTGAACGCTCGCATGCACGAAGGGACCACTCCTCTCATCCTCGCCGCAAGACTGGCCATCGAAGGCATGGTTCAGGACCTTATCAGTGCCGAAGCCGATATAAATGCCGCCGACAATTCCGGAAAGACTGCGTTACATTGGGCCGCCGCTGTAAATAACGTCGAAGCTGTAAATATACTGCTGGCCCATGGAGCCAACAGGGACGCCCAAGACGACAAAGTAAGTCGTATCATTTAAATTAATGTTTACCGGGGCGCAATTGTTATCGTACCGTTTCTTAATTTTTCAGGACGAAACTCCCCTGTTCTTGGCAGCCCGAGAGGGTTCGTATCAAGCGTGCAAAGCACTCCTGGAAGCCTACGCAAATCGGGAAATAACCGACCACATGGATCGACTACCGAGGGACGTGGCCAGTGAAAGACTCCATCACGACATAGTCCGACTTCTCGAGGAGCACGTCCCTAGGAGTCCCCAAATGATCAACGTAGTCACGAGCAGTTCAATGATAAGTATGTTATATCTCTTCTTTACATGAACCCATTCATTTTAATCTACAATTAATTTTACCTTTTTACAGCGTCACCAAATGGTCAAATGATCCAACAGCCTACGGTGATAGTTCCGAAACGACAGAAGTCGAAGAGGCCGTCGAAATCGTCGGCCATGGTCGGAGGAGGGAATAACGGTCCCTTGGATCCCGCGAGTCCCGAAGTGGAAGGCGCCAACACGGGCTGCGGAGGTGGCAGCGTCAGGCGGAAAGCCAGCATAAAAAAGAACGCGAACAACAAGAAGACTTCTAGTAATAACAACAACAACAACAATAACAATAACACGTTGGCATCGTCACACGGCGTCGTGGACATCGTTCAGAGTGTCGATTCGATCGGGTCCACGCTGAGCCCTGTCGAATCTCCGATGACGAACGGTTCGATGCCAAGCCCGTACGATACTGCAAGCATCTATTCAAACATGGGTATGGCGGCGGGACTGGAGGGGTTACTTTCGGCTGCGAGTAAACAGCCGCCGAGTTACGAGGACGTTATTAAAAGTAATCAGCAAACGTTGCAATCCATCCTCAATCTCGATAACTATGGAGGATTCAGCCTGACAAATTTTCAGGTGAGTAATTTGTACTTGTTGCGTAATTTTGTCGCTTGTTTCTACAATTGATTCACCAAAAATTAATTTATCAAAGGTGCGTTAAATATCTATCGATTTATCGAGTGTAACTCATTAAAATTTTCGTATTTTTCGACATTATTTCAACCAAAACGAACTCATTAAAGTCAGATAATTTATATGAAATTTTGAGTTTCGTGAATTACAATATGTATATGTTAAAAGCCCTCATTGCAATTGTTTTAAAAGATTTTTGTGATTTCTAAATTTCTCATCATTTTATAAACGATTAAAGATCAATTTTCATCAAAATTAAGTTAGGTAAAAGAAAAAAACAGATGGCAACAAAAAAATAAAACGTAATATTTATTGTAACTTAAATTACAATGATATATATTATATTTATGCATCTTGTAACAAAAAGATGTACACAGTTGTATATATATTTAACATTATATTTACAATATTGTGATGCGAGGGGCGGCATCCAGGAAATAATTCCTGAAACAAAAACAATATTTTTTCTAGTGAAATGTGACACTTAGTATTTTATTCTAAATACCACTCGATAATTATAAACATCAGAGAAATTTAGTTAGATCGCTCTCGATATCGTTTTTTTAAATGACTTTGAACCACCCTACATAAATCAATTAAAAATCGGATGAAAAATATTTTTTACCATTTTTAAGATGTCTTAAATATAAAAAATACGATAATGATTTAAAAAATAAAATTAATTTCTTAGGAATCAATGTAAAAGTAATTATTCTCCTTTAGGACCACCTAATCCTGCAGCAACGACAAATGCAGCAGCCAAACACACTGTCTCCCCCTTATTCGAACCATTCACCCCCCCATTCGGTCCAGTCGAACATGTCCCTGTCTCCCCAAGGTTTCGGTGGGGGAGGTTCGTCGTCCCCCGCCAAAACGCGTCCCTCATTGCCCACCAGTCCCACCCACATAGCCGCTATGCGTGCTGCGACCCAACAGAAACACGGCGGCATCCCCCCACAGACCCAAAACCTCCCCATGGGCTTCGATTTTAGTCAGGCGGGCCTCGAACAACTGCCCCTCGTCTATCAGAACAACGCGACGGGCGCGGGGAGCGGCCTACAACCCCAACAGTACCACCAACAGCAACAGCAACAACAGACCCAACAACAGCAGCAGTTTTACTTGACGCCCCCCTCGCAACACTCCGATTTAACCCCCCAACATCATCATCTGGCGCCCGACAATTTTCCTACGCCAAGTCCCGAAAGTCCCGGACATTGGTCCTCTAGTTCCCCGCACTCGTGTACATCTGATTGGTCAGAAAATATCACGAGTCCCAACACTTATTCGTCTGCGGGGCACCAAACCAACAAGGGGTCAGATGCAATCTACATTTGAAGGTAATTAACTCTTATAATGTAATTATGACTATTGTTGTTTATTAATTTTGACGTCGGGGGTGAAAGTGAAGTGAACTGTGTACACGTTGGCGGGTGGTGCATCTCGGAATAAACAATCGTGACGAAAAAGTTTTATTATTATTATATAATATTAATTGTTGCAATCTCGATCTCCGATCCGTTTTATTTTATTTTATTTTTTTTGTATGGATTAATTAACGTTATATTTCTATAGGAATTACTTAGCAGTGTAGGTAGTTTTTGTGGAAGTTGTACAAACAAACAAACAATCGGTAATATTTTGAAAACAAAACACCTTCGTGATAGTAGTGTTTTTTTTTATAATTCTTCGTTTGTTTTTGTTTCGATACAAATGCTGGAATCCGTGAAGGGTTTTTTGAGATCTAATAACAAATTTTCGTATTAAGCCAAAAAACCTGTTCATAGATCTTTTTCTTCTTCATAAAAACATTGGTCTTATCTCAAAATTATTTCGCTTTATTTTATTTTAACATATTTTGAAAACTTTACTACTTTTCTTATTGTACAACGTCCCGCTAATGTTGAAAACTTTCTGTAATTCTTACGTCACAAAATGGAATGGTCTCTCTACATTATCCCGTAACGTACCATCAAAAAAGAAAAACAAAAGACCTCACGTTTGAACACAAAACAAATTTGTTATCGCTCTTTTTTTTATTTTACGTACATACATATAGCGTTGTAATATGTTTTATAGTTAGTTATTTCTGTACATAATCTATATACAGTAGGGTATTACATTTCAGACAATCAATTGAATTGATGGATTGATTGATTGAATAGCACTCGTAGTTCGTGTAAAAAATCGCGAAATAATTAAAGTGCCTTTTTAAAGAAAATAAGAGCAGCCAATGTCACGAAAAACAGAATCTCAGCAGAAGATCTTCTTTTTTTTGCTAATTGAATGTGGCTTACACACACAAAGTCTGTGATTCGTATTTGTATTTATATAATAATATTGTAGGACAACTTGTTTTTTTTTATTTACATATAATAATTAATAAATTCATCTACTGCTATGGCGAAAAGAGAACAGCAATTATAATGTTTATAAGAATCTTGGATCCCGCGAGTCCCGAAGTGGAAGGCGCCAACACGGGCTGCGGAGGTGGCAGCGTCAGGCGGAAAGCCAGCATAAAAAAGAACGCGAACAACAAGAAGACTTCTAGTAATAACAACAACAACAACAATAACAATAACACGTTGGCATCGTCACACGGCGTCGTGGACATCGTTCAGAGTGTCGATTCGATCGGGTCCACGCTGAGCCCTGTCGAATCTCCGATGACGAACGGTTCGAT